CCACTGTACTCCTCCATGTCTCTTTAAGTCGACATGGATTTCTTCTGCCTTCTGGCACCCATGTGAGTGCGATTCAAGGATGTAAATAATGATCCATTCTAAGGATGTGATCTAGCCATGTATATCTCCTCGCCACCTGCTTGCTTATTGGCTCAGTGCCCGCTCTTATTCTAATATCCTTGTTTGTTATGTACATTGGCCAGTAGATCGTTAGTATCCAACAAAGGCTCTTGTGTAAGAACACATCCAGCTTTTTCTCATCCACTTTAGTCATTCACCAGGTTTCACGTCCATAAAACAGCACTGAGAGTAAATTAGACTTAAAAATTTTGATCTTGGCTGTACTGTTAACGCTGAACGTAATTATTACAAAATACAGTATTGTGATTTCATTTTGTTAGTGTCTTGCCGATCAATTATTTACTGCGGCCTTTGGCAAAGAATTGATCTGCTTTCTACTGACAAATCACCATAGTTTCCTCAACCTCATCCAATAATTGTTAATTATTTACATTCAAGTTGCTTTTCTATCAAAGGAACTGAGAACCAAAATGGTTACTTTGTTGCATCACAAGACAGGACTTTGAGAAGGCATTTACAGAAAGTTCCAGGCAAGTAGTTAGCACAATTTGTTATTTTGTTGAGAATGAACATGTTGGTCAAACTTCTGCTGCAATAAGTTTCCAGGTTGGTAGGCAATGGTTTGTACCAGTTCACATTCTGAAACTAAGGCAAACATTGACTTAAAAAAGCGTAATTGTTGGTATAATACCAGAACAGGTACGATTAGGTATGTCCTGTTCCAATTTGGCCAAGTGGCCATGATTCCATAACCATATCAGGTCAGTACTAGTGACTTGATATACAGCTGTCTAAACAATAGCCTCCATTTGGTGTGAAAATATGCTCAGATTTTTTCCATGGACATTACCTTTTCAGAGAAGTGGACAGTTTTCTGAGAGCAAAGCTCGAGGAAAACTGTGAGTTTAGGAACAGATAATGTCCAAGGACAAATATCCAAGGACATTTTGATGCCAAATGGAGGCTCTTGTGTTTAGCATCCTTCAAATATTTTTTGCAACAGGTGTAGTTTTGAAACTTGGGGAATATCACTTGGATATTCCCCAGTTTTAGCTGGGGCATAATTCACTCAACCTCATATCCAGGTCTCTCATCTTCTTATCCCACCAATTGCGCACAGGCAAAAATATTTGATGGATTATAATGTAGGATGTCAGGAGAGTAGACATGGCTTCTGATTGGCTAATTGCGAATTTGGGTATGGTAAACAGGTGTAATCATGAACAACTTTTATTTTGCAGGTGTGCCTCTTCTCTTTATAAATCGCAACACAATACTTCTTGAGAAACCTTCAACCACATCCCATCAAGCATCTGAAAAGGTTTGTTATCTCCTGTAAGAAACATGACTTCTTTATCATGTCTATCATGTCTAAGTGGCTAACCACACTAGCGCTTAGTTTCCAACTTCAATTTTCCTGGTATCTTGTTAAGTTAGTCTAGACAAATGGTTCTCCTGTCCAGGACCATTTGTACTCCTGGCCTGCAGTAGTTAAGAGATGTACTCTGAGAGTGAAGCTTATTACCTGAGAACACAATTCAAAGACTGACCCAGGACAGAATCTTTTTAATGTTAGTGCGCTTGCTTTGATTGGTTCCCATTGACTGGAAAGTTTGGGACAGTCCATGGTCTCTCCGAACGTTATGTTCCCCTACAGTACTTTATCTCTCCTCTGGACTCTTTTTTTCTTTCTTATTTTAAGGTTGAAATGTCTCGTCTCCAACCTTCTAAACATGAAAAAGAAACGCTAGAAAAGCTGAGCGACTCCACAACAGAACTAAAACCACGCCGTAAACGAAAACGACCGGGGGGGCCAAATCCACTCTCGGTACTGAAAAGCAAGAGGAAAAAGGACGACAAACACTCAGCTAGCGACGATACCAAGGTAGAATCTTGTTTAGATTAAAGAACCATTTATATGTGAACAATAAATATATTGTTGCTACCGATATTAATCCAAAAAAAAAAAAAAAAAAAAAACTTGTGGAGTGCCCGAGCTGCAGTACAATCATTTTCAATAATTCCTTAGCTCACCCAAAGACATTTCAGAACTTCTTAGAGGATTAAGTGTTTAATCACAGTCAGCATCATGGTAGCGATTGTGTTCATCATAAAGTCTTTGGGTAGAAACTAAAATTGATATTTTGGATCCTTCTCTCTTGGGCCTTGTCAGACACACTTATGGTTAATGTGGTGATTGTTAAGTATCTACTCGCAAAACAATGAACTGTACAAATACATGTACACTTCTCACCGGATGGTTGACGTCAATTGTGAACAAAGCCTTTGCCTCACTTACTGTACCACTTCTTTGTGCCTAAAACAAGAGTAATTCAAAAAAGATAATCAGTCACAGAAGAAAAATGATCTTACCATTTACAGTGTACATCTACAGTGGATAACACACAAAATCCACAACAGGAACAGTCCTGTTATGTACAAAAAAGCACAACTGAGCAAGTCCCAGTAATCAGACAGGAAGTATATTTTGTAATCATTCATTCTCATTGGATTGACAGATTATACAAGTCATCATATACTGGCTTGCCCTTATACTTACATTATGCCCCAGTTGAACAATTCCCCCACCCCAACCAACATGTTCAGAACAATTTGTTTAAATAGAGGGTTATGAATTTTGTTGTCTAGGTACCTTTCTGTAGGCAGCATATCCTTCATCATCATAAAAACTCAATTTGTAGATACCAGCTTTGGCTTCTTTGTGTTCCTCTGCCCAGCTGACCTAAGTTACACATTGGAAAACAACACTTTGTCATTTTGAAAATGATGATGTTAAAGTTCATTCAAGTGTTTAATGGATCTGTCTCAGTTTGGGCAAAAAGGCTGCAACTTTATAACATTGCAAGAGGAGTTATTGTGATGCAATCAACAACATTTTTTTTCTTTAGCAACATTTCTTCCCTTATAGATTGGTTTTCTGTGGGTAGGCTAAAAAGAATTGGATACAATGAAATGTTCATTGAAATACCATTGTACAAACTGGTTACCGCTGGTTGCGACAGTTTAATTTGTGTGGCCTTGGAAACTCCTTGTGTTTTACATGAAAATTGATATCATCACTGTACCTGTACATGACACCTTGAAGTCTTCCAAAGACATATCAGAATACATTTAAGTGTAATCATGAGCTAACTCAGGGTAGCTGATTCACATTCATCACAAGTCTTTGGAAGATATCACTGTACAATATAGAAAGATACGGCTTCTTGAAAATTACTGTCAAAAAGAAAGCAGTTACTGCTGAAACTTAAACAAGGCATTTGACCAGGAATTTTATTAAGCCCATGGGCAAGTTGACCAGCTTCAATGAAGATTTTGCACACCTGGTTTGACCATCTGGCAAAAAGTGTTTCTTACAAAGAAGTTCAGTTGAAACAGTTTTGCCTGCCTGTGAAAACCAGTTACCAGCCTGCTGAAACCATTGATGACAACAACCACCAACCATTCTATTGTACCAGATTAACAAGAAAAGAAACCCCTGGATCTGACAAAAGCATTTTCTGAAATTACAGAATGGTATGGATATCATTCTGCCTTAAACTGACCTGGAATTTTGCATCATCTGTGGATCTTGTTACAGGTAAAACTCGCCCATTCACTTCAGCATACAAGTTTAACTCCTAGTTTAAACACAAAACAAAGGGAAAAAATATATTAGTTTTACAAATAAACTTAATGTGATGTTGTGGTGTTGTGGCACTACAGCAGAATCTTGCTATCTCAAACTTACTCAACTATCTGCTATCTAGAATTCAACTCACTGTCCCTTGGATATACTTTTTCACACACTAGCTATCAGCTACTTCAAACTCAAACTATGCCAAGTTTACATTTAAGAGTTAAGGACAACAGGGTTCAACTGCACAATCAAAGTTATCACCAGCAATTTCTTTCATATTGTTAATTTAGACAAGCCTATTCCAAAGACATATCAGAAAATGTAAAAATATAATCATACACTCATGGTAGCTGATTCACGTTCATCACTTACGCCTTTGGAATGATGTCATTTCAGTTTCAAGCATTGACCTACAGTCTACACAAATACTTAGGTGTACACAAGTTACACCGTCAAGCTCTACAAAATGAATACTACAAACAGTATGAAGTTTCTTGGTTTTGAACAGTCCTGCAAAAATTGGCTTTCTTTTTTCACTTTGCTAGTGAAGGTTGAGGCGATAAACATACCTAAAATTGTATGTGTTTTCTTGCTTGAGCAACAATTTCAAGGATCCAAAAGACTTGCAAATAGATTTTTCATACCAACAAACAGTTAAAAACATTTTTGGACAGCTACTGTACCAGTAGCTTAAACAAATCTTAAACCTTACTCCACACACTCATTTCCACATTCATTCCTTTACCTTAGCATTATTGTCGCATTTGAGGGAAAATTCAACAATAAATACACTTTCTGAAGACAGCAAAATGTTCCTTGTGGAGTAGATTTCTGGTGTGGGCTTAGCTCCAACACAAGTATCACCTGAATTCAAGAGAAAGATAATCCCAACACTAAGATGAATCGAAAGTAGTTGAGATTTTTTTGTGACAAATGCACAAATTGAAAGGACAATGATCTTTCTCTGGAGCCTCTGGCTCAAAAATATACAAAAAAGCCAGAATGCAGTCATTTTCTTAATAAATTTGATCAATGAAGTCTACAGACCACTGAAAGATCCAAATGAGTAGTAAAAATCCAAAAAAAAAAAATTCAAGATTAAAATAAGCCAATAAATCGCTGCCTCGTGTGTGAAACAAAAGGATTGAAAAATTACCATTAACTCGCAAAATATAGGCATTGAATTACTCTTTGAGCCTAAAGAGCAACTTTATCTTCCTGTATACGTTATTTACGGCTTACCAAGAGTATTTAGAGGTGCAAAAAGAGCTAAAACTGCGAGAAACACGCACAACGCCGCCATCTTGTGCCGCGTCCACGCTAGAAGAGAAAGAATAGTAGAGATCACGTGGCATTCACTTTTTGAGCCGTGATTCAAACCTATCAGCGGTTTTTATGAGAGTTTGGAAGAATGAAGGTGAAAAGAGTAAAGCATGCAAGAAAATTTCTGACTTTGTTCAAGAATTCCTTTGGGATCTTTGAGCCTTACCAAATATTAGGTAAGTAAGGGTATTAAATATCACTTCCTTCATAACACTTTGCAGTTTGGTGGCATTTTGGAGCTTGTGTCCTTTGCAATCGCTGAAAGAGTTAGTGCGTTTGACTGATCCACGTGCAACTGTACTAACTTATTTTTTATGTCGTTCTCTCTTCAGTTGATGGTACTTTCTGTCAGGCGGCATTGCAGACTAAAATCAATATCAAGGAACAGTTACCAAAATACTTAGATGGATCTATTCAGTTATGTATCCTTATATGCCTATATGAGCTTGTTGTCCTCAAGCTGTTATACATGTACAGGTATCTTAAAGAGTTTGGCAATTTAAAATTCCTTTGAGTTGTGTGTGGGTACTCACCAGTTAACCGAAACATCCGAAATTTTCAGTTGAAAGTCAATAGACCAATTTCGACATCTTAAAATTCAGTGTAAAACAATTGACCTCAGTACTTGGCTTGAGGGAATAACAGTTATTTACTACAGAGTTTGTGGGGTTTATTCCCCAGAGCCTCATGCTGAGGTCTATTGTGTTAGGCTGAATTTTAATATGTCAAAATTGGTCCATTGGAACAGTAATTTTTCTGGAAAATCTGTTCAGAAATTGTATGCTATCTCCAGTGGTACCCAGATGTAAAGCAAAAGATTAAAATCCTCACTCTAAAACACAATAGCGAAACAGTAATAGTTGATGCAGTAGCAAGAAAAGATAAAAAACCCAATTACTTCCAGGATTACATGTACATGTATTCCAAAGAAAAGGCAAGCAACTCTGAGGGTACATGTATTCCATAATTTCTGATGATAGACTAAAATGATACTTGTACCTCTAAGATCACTTGTACAGGGTATCAAACACACAAAATTCACAAAAAAAAA